ATCACAGAGTGAGAAGAATTTGTACAAATCTTTTTGAACATCATAGATCTTGAGTTGATAAAAGATGGGAAGAAGTTTCAAGAAGACTTAACTGCTCAAAGGCCAGGTTTGGTGGTTCCTGCCTGTAATTTTATGCTTTGGGAGACTGAGGCAGGAGTATCACTTGAGGTCAGGAGTTCGAGACCAGCCTAAGCCAAGAGTGAGACCCCTCTAATTTTAGCAGTTTGGGAGGCTGAGGCAGGAGGACTGCTTGAAGTCAGGAGTTTAAGATCAGCCTGAGCAAGAGCAAGACCCTGTCTTTACAAGAAAACAAAAAAATAGAAAAATTATCCAGGCATCATGGCATGTATCCGTAGTTCCAGATACTCAGGAGGCTGAGACAGAATGATCACTTGAGCCCAGGATCAGTTTGAGGTTGCTGTGAGTTCTGATGATGCCACTGCACTCTAGCCTTGGTGAGAAAGTTTGTTTCAGAAGGGAGGGAGGGAAAAAAGGAAGGAAGGAAGGAAGGAAGGAAGGGAGGGAGGGAGGGAAGGAGGGAGGGAGTGAGGTAGTCGCCTGGATGATTTAGGTAGTAGTGTGGGTGAATCTCAAAAACAAACACGAAAGAGTATTGCTCTATGATGGACTTTCCCTATGTCACTTGTTCTTTAAAATAAAAAAACAAAAATACTACGGAGGGCCACTGTGAATTCTGATCCTTGAGTGGCAGAAAGTTAATCACATAATGGTCCTTTGGACTAGGAATTATACATGTTATGCCCAAAGCCATACATATCATAACCTCTGACCCTATAGATGGTAGCCCTAAAGTGAAGGTGTGATCATAAAAACCCTCATGTCTTGCCAGAGCTTGCTGCAGATGCCACAGTCAGTTTCAGGGAAGGTTTCCTCTGGTTCTATTTCCCATTTAATGACAGAATAAAGTCTTCATAAGGAGCTATTGAAGAATATGATCAATTTAGCAAGGCTTGGGCACATTACAGAGAGCCCTGCACACTTTCCCTGACAAGGTCAAATAAAGCCAGGTCCTAGTTGAAGAAGCTTCAATGCCTTCTGAGTTTTCTATACAGACAATGAACTGGCAATTATTCCTATCTTGGCATCATCCTTCATTTCACAAAGGACTTGCCTTAGCCCCAGCTTTCCTTTAAAAAGGCAGCTCCCTTGCCCGTCTGTTTATTTATAGAATACTCTGCATACCCTGGGGGAGGCTAGAGACAGAAAAACTGAAGCCTTGTGAGCCAGGAACCACCAGAGACCAAAAATTTAAAAAATCAACTAACGGGTATAACATGGGGCTTCCCAAAGTATAAGGCTCATACAACTAGTAGTTTGCAAGATGACTTTAACCAGTAGGAGACTACTAAATAATGCCTCAGGGGGTACACAGCAAATGCCTCATGGGTTACACAGCATTAGATAACACTGACATACATACTAAAAAGGGTACCTCTTTTCTTTTTTTTTCAACTTACACGTTCATCCCTGAAAAAGTCACCTCTTTTCATTCCTTTTTCAATCCTGCTTATGTCAAAGAGGAACTCTCAGTGTTAAACAGCTCTCTAACCCCTTGGGCCTCCTGCAAGCAACAGTATCCTGCTAGCTAATAACATTGTTTCTTTTTATTTAAATGGATACATTTAATTTATGGTAGGGAAGCAAATTAATTTTAAAAATAAATTTAAGTTAGAAGGAATCAATCGAAAGAAAAATATGAAGCAGGTAATATGTGGTTCTGGTAAAAATTGTGATGGTAGTATGAGAATGGCTGCCCCTAAGAGGCAAATTCAGGCCACCATGAGGGTGGGGTGTCCAGGTGGCTCTCTCTAACCTGGCTCTTGCACACACCAGCTGTGAGACTTTGGTTTCCTCATCTATCAAGTGAGAACATTCAATCACATCATCTATTCTGTTCTTTCCTACTCTAGTGACTTACAAAATTCTGAAATTATGCCAGGCAATTAAAGAGTAGGATTTGGCTTGCCTCCACAGTTATCTTACTCTCTGTCATATTTCCCAGAACCTAAAACATTACCTGGAAAAGACTCAGTGCCTGATAGTGTTGATCATCTGGTTGAATAAATTGAAAGAGAAAAAATACACTCATTTTATATATCTCTCATGGGAAGTGAGGCAGCCCTGGCTTAGAGGCAGTGGTGCCAACACCCCTGCAGCACAACATGAAGCAGGTCGTGTCAGGAAGGAGAGCAGACCTCACAGCCCAGACTCGGACTCCTCTGCTACCTGTGAACAGCCACGTTGTGCATTTGGGGGCCTGTATTTCTGAACGGACGGGCAAGATTAATGGGATATACATCAGCGGATGCAGGTAAACACTGCACAGGGAAATGAAGTTTAGTCTGGGGTTTGGGGTGAGGCATATTTCACAATTTTCTTTTAATGTTCCTACTGATTTAGACATCTGGGGATCATGCAGACATCTGGGGACCTTAATCTCTGGAGTATAAAGCAAAATTTAAGAATAAACGATGTAAAACATTGTCATAGAATCCTGCCTTTCTCTGGACATTTACCTATAGTCCATCAAATTTGACTATCAAACAAGTCCTAGTCCTTCCAAAATAATAATTATCATAACAACAGCAACAGCAATATATACCATGACCACCCTTACCATGACCAAAGACCTAAGAGCAATGGCTTCCATCTACTAGGTAACTCCTTTATATCAGGCCCCATGTAGGTGCTTCATATATGTCCTATAACTTTATCTCTCACTATATGATGAAGAAGCATTTCTCTCATATTAAAGATGGAAAAACCAAGGCTTAAATAAGTTAACACCCTCAAGGTGACCTGGTTAGTAAGTGGTATGACCTGAAGTTCAGCCCAATCCTGTAGGTCTCCCTGGTTCTTGCTGCCTTTGCCTTTTCTCCATGTTTTCTGTATCAGACAGTCACTGTGCATCAGTTATATACCAGGCACAGGGTTCAATGTCCCACTGACATTCTTTCTTTGGAACTGCTTTAACAGCAAGGAACATGTTAACAACTTTACAAGTTACCAGTTGACTTGTTAACCTTATTACTGCTGGTGCATTTTTAAAACTATCCAGTAATGCCTATAATTTTTTCCTCAATTCTGCAAAATAAAAATTCTTCCCACAATGTTTTCCCCTAGGAAAACACCATGTTTCGGAAATCTGAGTTTAAGATCCCAGCTGTTAAACAGTGTTGCATCTAACTTTTACTGATCTCTGAAACCAGGTTCCTGTAAAGAAAACTGATTCCTTGAAACTATCACTAATGATCAACAGCTAAAAATGACACAAAGAAGAAAATATTCCCTTGTGTGGAGGCCCCAGGATTGATGAGACACAATAATTTGAGACATGGGCCATTCTAACTCCTTGTCATATACATCTTCTCCATCACAGAGAAAAGTCATACTCAAACCCAAGTTAGTGGGTTAAGCTTGTGAGTCATCAATACAAGCATGGCCCAGCCCCCTGTCCTATGATGCTCTCCTCAGTCTCTCTCCTGGATATTCACATAATGCTCTCTCCACTCTTCCTCCCGGATCTGTCCCTGATGCTCTCCTTACTTTCTCCTTACCTACATTCTCCACCACTTCCTCCTGTAGGGAATTTGAAAGTCAATATAGCTAACAGGTCCTCCTTCTAGGCTTTCTCAAAAGGCTGCTTGACCACCCCCATGATCCCAAAGGTCCTACAATGCCCCAGATACATCTCTCCTCACTTCTCCTGACTCACTAGTTCCTGCTGACAGTGACCATATTAGCTGGGCTTCCTAGACACCAATGCAGCTTTCTTTCACTTTCCTTCTTGTTCACTCACTACTCCTGTTTTGCAAATGTGGAGAGGGACCAGCACTGCAATTAAAGCACTTGTCCAAGCCTAGACAGACTGTGCTGCCTAAAACACAGCAATTTAAATTAAATAAAGCTAAAGAAAATTCAAAACTCAGTTCTTCAGCAGCACCAGCTACATTTCAGGTGTTTGACAACTGCTAGGAGCTACCACACTAGCCAATATAGCTTTAGAGGGTTTATACCCCTGAAAGCTTCTTACAACCAATCCCTTAGACCTGTGGTTCTCAACCTTCCTAATGCTACAACCCTTCAATACAGTTCCTATGCGTCGCGACCCACAGGTTAACTGCTGCCTTAGACCATTTTAGTTTAGCATTTACTATGAATGTAGGGTAGAAAGTTCCCACCAGGTGCTAGATTTTGTGAATCAGACCACAGCCCTCAGCCACCACACTGGATCCAGGTCCTGTCCTCCTCTTCTCGTTTCTGTAAAGGTTGCTCTTTCATACTCCAGTCTTTGCACTCCTAGCTGTCAGAGGAATTTTCTTAATTCACACTAGGCTGCCAGTCTACTGTCCACCAGATAAAACATGAACTCTGACCACCTCATATGGTCCCAATTCAGATTCCTAGTCCTTACTCCCACATCTTTGCCTACAACCCAAATAACCTGTCCCTATGCAAGCCCCACACAGCCTCCTGCCTTCCATCCTGCTGTCCCCTCAGTGTGGAACACTCCCACACTTGGCTGCCTGATGAACACTTCTCTGCCTTTAAGACCAGTTCATGGGGCAGTGCCCATGGCTCAAAGGAGTAGGGCAGCGGCCCCATATGCTGGAGGTGGTGGGTTCAAACCTAGCCCCAGCCAAAAACTGCAAAAAAAAAGGACTGGTTCATGTCAGATTCCCCAGGAAAGCATCACTGTCCCATAGGCCCATGCCTTCTAGATGCCCTTCAAATTTAGGGCTCTGCCCCTACATAGTCTTTGAGAACTATTTTTAGGGGGATTTTTGGTCTATATCAGAGCTTTGAAACCCCTTAGGTACCCAACCCCTTCCCATCTGATCTACTGAACCAGAGAATCACGCACCAAGGTCGGCCTGCAGAGGAGTAGAAGGGAGAATGGAGCTTATAGCAGGAGTTCCAGTTTCATTAAGGGCTATCTTTTCAGGGGGTAATCTGTAGTGTTAAAATTCCATACTCACTCTTTAAAGAGCACAGCCTTCTTTCCCAACCGCTATCTGGCAGAAGCTGAAAATGAGATTCTGGAAATAAAATGACAAAGCATTAAATCACACTAGGGAATATGAGTGAAGTGCTAACAGCTGGTCAAATTGCTGGCTTCATGGAGGTGGGGCACCCTCCTCCTGAGCACAGGCAAAGTACACACATACCATGGCTTTATAGTGTGCCTCTGGTTCAGGTTGCCTCCCCCAATTAAGCAAATGCACACAAAGGGCAGGGAATCGCAGATAATGAGCCAGGCCTAGGAAGGGTTGAAGGAGATCAGAGAAGAAATCTAGTGACTGGGGCAACATAGAATGTGCTGTGTAACAGTTAAAGCTCTGCTTCTGCACCTGGGTTTGGGCTTGACCTAAACATTGTATTCAGAAAGGAAGGGAAGAAAGAGCCACCAACGGGCAACTGAGGCTAATACTGCTGCTAAGATGACAGCAAAAGGAGGCTGCCTCACTCAAAAACTGGGAGGGGGGAAGCAGGGGGAATGGCAGCAGAATTAGAAGTCGGGCAAAGGAAATGGTATCAGCGAGGCCCCCGAATTGTCAGATGGATCAAAGAGTTAAACATAAAAAACAAAACCATGACATTTCTAGAAGAAAACATGAGAACTCTGTTTTAAAATATCTCCATGGAGAAGGGCTCTCTAAGTAAGATATAGAGTCCAGAGGCTACGACGAGAAGAATGCTAATTACATAAAAATATTTTAAAATGTCCACATAGAAAGAAATATCACAAACAAGATTAAAATTTGTTAGTACATATTAGAGGCAACAGACTAATTTCCTTAGTATATAAAGGGTTCTTACACATCAGGAAAAACAACAAAATCTAATAGAAAAATAAGAAAATGATCTAAGCAGATAATTTACCAGAAAGGAAACACAAATGACAAATGTATAAAATGATGCTCAATCTCATTTACAATAAGAGACATACAAAGTAAACCTACAGGGTAACAATAATCTTTACTTATCGTACTGGAAAAGAACAAAAAGTTTAGTGACAAATTGTGTTGCCAAGACGATGGAGAAATAGATGCTCTCATATAATGCACCAATTTACATTCCCATCACCAAACTCTACAGATAGCAATTTAGCACATCTGTGGCAATGCAAAATGCACATACCCTTGCCCTAACGATCTTTTCTTCTTTTAGTAATTTATCTGTTTATAACAGAAGATGAATGAAAATATATTTATATAAGGTTATTACGATATAATTTATAAGGGCAAAAGATAGGAAATAATTTAAGTGCTCACATATAGGGGACCTGCTAAGTAAAGAATGACATAGCTTTACAAAGGAATATTATATATAGCCATTAAATACAAATAAAAGTTAGATATAAGGTATTAAAATAATGAGACAATCCTATTTATCCGTATGGGGAATAACCTCCAAGGTACATTAAGTATGGAACAGAAAACAGTGCATAAACACCTCTAATATTAAAAGGAGAAAGAGAGAGAGAGAATATATATGTTATGTTTATATGTGTGTGAAATATTTCTGGATAGATACACAAGAAACTGGTAATCATGGCACTGGGAAGGGGAACTGGGGGGCTAAGGACAGAGATGAGAGGGAGACTTTTCACTGATACCTTCTATACCTTTTAATTTGTTGCCATGTGCATTTATAAAGTTTTTTCTAGTTAATGAATTAAAAATGACAATATACACTCAAATAAAATGGTCTATCCTGTAGTGTCCAATGTAGTAGCCACTAGCCACATGTGTGGCTATTTAAATGTATATTAAGTAAAATTAAATACAATTTAAAATTCAGTTCCTCAGCCACATTCACCACATGTCAAGTGCTCCACAGCTACACGTAGCCTGTGGCTATCACATTAGACAACAGAAACAGGGAACATTTTCATTATCACAGTAAGATCTACTGAGTTCTTTAGTTCTGGACTCTATACTAATTCAAAAGGCCCCTTAGAGACAGCAACCAAACTTTAACTGTCTCTGCTGATGAGGGAAGAAATACAATGGTGGATGCTGTTAGGATGAAAATTCCCATATTTGTACACACCAGCCCAGTTACCTAGCTGCCTGCTATATTAACATTCCGTGATTGGGAAACAACGATCTATGTGACCATCCAAAGGTTAAGCCTGGTTGGCAAGCACTTTAGTCCTTAAGGCTCAAAGTCCAGCACTCCACTATAGAAGGTGGTAAGAATTTAAGTTTTTTAAATGACAAACATTCTTATCATTCCATCCTAGAACTACAGGACCACCCATAAGCCATAAATTCTTATCTCCTTTGTGGTTCAGGGAGAGGTGCAGATTAGAAGGTTCACACTCTCCTACTTTGTACCAAAGAACTAGCAACTGGTTTCCCAGGGGGGTTCTCGCTTGGGAACCAGCCCAGCCCACAGCCCCTCCCTGCTTCTGCCATCTGAGCTGCCCTGTGGGCAGGAGAATTCAGCCCAGCCACATTGATGCTCTGGGTGGAGTATCAGAGAGAACCATAAATTTAGCCCTACTACTCAATTCCTAGGTGCTCAGCAGGAAGGTAGGAGGTACGCTTGAGCACAGCTTTTGGAAAGTTAATACTGGCCGAGTAGCAAAGCACACAGGTCCTGACTGGGTCCACACCTGGAAAACATCAGCCTCTTGGGTCAAGATGTGAGCTGTGGTGATAGTCTGAAATAAACACCTGCTTAAATTCATGTTTTACAAGACAATCCTACAGAAATACAAGCCAGTCAGTTTCCTGCTGGATAAAACAGGAGCTAAAACCTACCCGAGCCTTTACCTCCAAGGAGCTCAAAGTGTACAGCAGGGGTCCTCAAACTTTTTAAACAGGGGGCCAATTCACTGTCCCTCAGACTATTGGAGGGCCGGACTGTGGGCCCCAGGACCAGTCGGCTGCTAAGCAGGACAGGCAGCGGCAGCAAAAACATCCAGCGGGCTAGATAAATGTCCTAGGCGGCTGCATGTGGCCCGCGGGCGTAGTTTGAGGACAACTGATCTACAGGCTCTAGCAGAGCACACAATAAGTTTTTATTTACACACTTCTCTCTGAATTAGTGTAAACACAAGTGCTGTCATCAGCCAGGTGATGCAAGGAAACTATTTAAAGCAGTGACTGCAGGACACCAAGTGCTCACACTGCACAGCTAAGCTCTTGCCTGACTCCCAGGCAGGTAGGCAGTCCTTCCAGACCACTGCCACATCTGTATAAAGGTGAAGTACTAGAAAGGGCATCATTTAAGTGACTGTTTTCCACATGACTGAAAAGAATTAAAATAGTCCTCTCTTGGCTCGGCGCCTATAGCTCAACCAGCTAAGGCGCCAGCCACGTACACCTAAGGTGGCGGGTTCGAATCCCCAGCCCGGACCCTCCAAACAACGATGACGGCTGCAACCATAGCCGGGCGTTGTGGCGGTCGCCTGTGGTCCCAGCTACTTGGGAGGCGGAGGCAAGAGACTCGCTTGAGCCCTTGAGTTGGAGGTTGCTGTGAGCTGTAATGCCACAGCACTCTACCCAGGGGGACAGCTTGAGGCTCTGTCTCAAAAAAAAAAAAAAAAAAAATAGTCCTCTCTTGGTGTTATAGCAAGAAGGCAAAACAGAACCTTAGCACCCAAACACATTTTCCTGTGGCCCAAATCTACACTCCTAAATAAAAGGAAAAGCAAGATTAAAGAGGGTGTTCTCACTTCTAAAGTTAGTCTATGGTACTTTTGATGCAGGAACAAAGCTGATATTAAATAAAAAGGAGCCCGATTAACAAAGAGCTGGCAGGTTTTAACAGGACAATAATTGGGGCTCTCAACACAAAGTCAAGCATTTAGGGCCCTTCTTGAGCTGATCCCCACCTTCTTTCTAGTCAGAATCTTTTCCCCAGAGGTCTCAGTAACTCACAAAAAAACGAGCACCAGGAAAAGGAATGTGTAGTGAAGCCACATTCAAAATTTCATAGTAACAGTAAAACACGGTTTTGTTTGGACCTTTTCTAAACAAATAAAACAAAAATCAAATCTGTCTATTTGAAAAGGAATAGTAAATACTAAATAAAATTTAGGTTATAATCTCAACCCTGGGCTAATTCTTAGGATAAAGAATCTACCTCATGTAGATTGTTTTATGGTATAGTCAGTCTTTCTACTTCACCTTTGGTCATCACAGTGTTACGATAGAGGCCATTTTTGAAAAAATATGATATGGCTTCATTGATTTCTCAAGGTCCCTTCAATTGTTTTATTTCCAAGTCTCTCCCCTAAAGGAGTGCTCATCCCTTCTCATCATCCATTGTTGACAAGTCTCACATTGCCAGACACCATAATTGCCTTGACACGTCATTCAAACAGTTCACTCTGATTTCATGAAATCTTGATTCTCTTGCAAGAGCTGCAATTTTATTTTCACTGTTTACCTTGTATTCATAAAACATCAATGACCTAGGAGACCAAGGAACAAAATAGGGATGTCTCTGGAACCAGCTGGCAACTAGCATTGCAAACAGAGGAAGGGATGAGAGAGTGGGATCTAATATTGTACAAGTCCATTAATGAATATTTTTCTGTTATGATAGCTTCTGCTTCCTATCCACTACCTGGGAATTGTGAGGAATCAGTAGATTGGCTAATAATCTGACTCTTCCATGACTGTACTTGCACTAGCTTTCTGTTTTTCTCCAGTTTCCCCTTTCTATACTTAAAAGACCCTCTCTACCTAGCCTAATTTCTCCTTTAAAAATCTTTCTGGCAGCTTAGCAGTCCAATTTACAATAGCAATGATGTAGAAACAACCCAAGTGCCCTTCAAAAAAATGAATGGATGAATAAACTGTGGTATATGTATACCATGAAATACTATTCAGCCGTAAAAAGATGGGAGATTGTGTGTCCTTTGTTATAACTTGGATGGATTTGGAGAATACTCTCCTGAGTGAAAGATCACAAGAATGGAAAGACAGGTATCACATGTACTCAATACTAATTTGAAACTTATAGATTAACAACACGCTCACATCAGAGAAAAACCCAATTGGATCTGAAGAGGAGGATA